TTAGCAATTTCTTATTGTTTTCATTTTCCGTTCCGCACTTGCCCGCGGCGACCCACCACGTCGCTTCATTCAGCATCTACAGTTGTTTTCTTATTGCTTTTGCTGAATTAGCATAAATTTGCACGCGAGAAACACTTCAAAGAAATCGCACATGCAAATTGAAAATTGATTTTCGTCAACATTTGCCGAATTTAGGCATTGCGCAAAATTTAAAGGTGTTGAAGGTTATTTGCATTTAATATTATGATTTTTTGGCTCTTTTGTTGTTCTTGGCAATTCATATGCCTTTTTGAGGCTTCGTATAAATCATATTTTATGCACATAAATTGATAATAAAAATGTATTCACATACATTTAACTTTTATTACAAATATGAGGTTATTTTACGTATGTATGTGTATATTTTGATTGGTCTAATTGGTTTTTCTAGCTTGATTTATGTGCTCCGAATTGCCGATATAAATGATTGATGGGCCGTTACTCTTGTCACTGGTTTACGATCTTGCATAATGAGAAGCCCCAATTGAGTTCAATTGGAAAGGGGCGCCTGATGACCCGTATATGTACATACATACATATGTATGTATATTCTCAACACGCTGATAAACTGACCACAGTCAAGGACAGAGTGGGACAGAGAGAGAGAGAAAGACCCACACATATTAGTTCACAAATATTTACAAACTTAGGCAAATAGTCATAAATAAGTAGCTAGACCAAAAATATGTGCCAAATATAAATCTTGGCCATAAAGAGCATAAAATAGCTTCACCTACGCATTCCACGCACAAAGCGTGCCCAAAAATAGCGCAATTCTAGGCTGATTACCATCAGCTGTGTGCGGGGTACGTGATGAGACCGGACCGGGTGTGCCCAGGTTGCGTGACAATTTTGCCAAGCGGCCGCACTGGACGCAGCTGGCATTTGCCTTCTGCCTTTTTACTGCTGTCTAATTGTTAACACCCGCCGCTTATGCCACACCCAGTTGAAACTAATCTGTAAACAATTAGGGCGTGTGTAGGTGAAATGGGTAGAGGAGGGAAGGGGATGATGTGACACAGAAAGAAAGAGAGGAATAGAGCTTGCTGTAAAGCAACAATTCAAATGAATTTGCAACGTGCGCCATTAAACTAATTAACTTTTAAATGGGCCAAGACATCGATGATATCCCAGTGTGATAAATTAATTAAAAATAATTAATTAGCTACGCGAAAGGGTAAACAATTTGCGTTACGCAGCGAATGCTTCAGCAACGAATATAAAAATTAATTGAAATAATCAGAAACTTTTTTATGTAATGAAAAAGTTGACGCTAAGAAATGACCTAAGCACTGGGCACAAAAAAAAACTTAACTTCGAAGGAAAAAAACATTATAGAAGAGAGCGAGAGTGCCGATAAGAAAAAAAACAGACAACAACAAACAAAACTAAATCAACCAAGACAGAGCAAGACAGAGCAGTGCAGGGCGACCAGAGCTGAGCTGAGCGACTGCAACGTATGTCCAACGCATTTGACTCACTTTCACACAAACAAACCGAAAGTCAAACAAAAGCAAACAGTTCGAACTCGAATAAACAGAGACCACCAAAAACAAATGTCTCTCTCGCTCTCGCTCTCTTCCTGTCTGTTCGAAATTAATTCCAAGATCAAAGAGCACATTTTACTAATAAAATTCTTTACGCTAGCGCAAGATACAATTTACATACATTTACAAATGTTACACACATATCGATACACATACACTGGCATGGAATTAATGCCCATATTCATATTGGATACAATAGCCACCCACACATCTGTTTAAGCCGAGGTAATCTACAAAACTTCGAATATGCATATTTTACTGATTAAATAAATTGAAACAATATGTTTTGCATTTACTGCTGGAGTATATAGATTAAAAGAACAAGCATTCAGAGATTTCAATGCTGAAATGACTGTCAGCTAACGGTACAAAAACATATGCCCAACGTATTATGACAGCTATTTTCTTTTGTCAAATGTCAGCTGTTTGCGCACTTGCCCTTTAGGAATCCATGCACACACACATATATACATTCATACATACCACACAGAGGCGTGATTATTGAGAGTATGGCACGCAATATGGCGTCATTTCTTTGGCAGCTTACAGAAGCGCAGTCTACACTGGACGTGACAATTAAATAAGTGAACGACATCGCGGGAGCGAGAGCTAAAGAAGCAAAGCGAGATGGGTGACAACAATTCTAGGTCAACGTTTTGAGATGAGCGCGTGAGCAAGCGAGCGATTGGGTATCGAAAATGCATAGCACTACTAACTAAACAAACCAATTGTTATTGTAGTTACTTCAAACGTGCAATGAATCACACCCCACGCATATCGATACACATTGCTCATCTCTTTCCCAGTGATAATAGCAGTGCCACCCTCTTCCACATGTTTGTCGATGTACGATAAGTAACTAAATGCGTCCGACACTTTAAGCACGCGTTTTGATATTGTTTCTTCGGTTTGTTTGCGTGATAGGCGCCGGCTATGATATCGCAACAGAAAATATTGCATACAATATAAGTATTTGATCGATCGGCGGAAATTCAACAGAAAATTGCAAAATAAAAGTAGCATAAGATAAGTTAAATATAGATATATAAATAGAAACATTTTTCACACATGCTTTCTGCGAAATTTTTCTGTTTGGCAACACATTAATTGAAGCAATCAAAAACACAAAATGATATCATAAGCAGAAATTCAACAGTTCTTGTTGTTGCTATATTTTGGGTGAAAGCCGGGCACAGTTGGGAAACTCTTTAATTGCTCTTCTATTTTCTGTTCGGTCTATTTATATGCCGATAAGAACTGCACTTTTGTGGCTTCTGTGCTGACGCATACGAAATCCACTTGACTTTTGGCCAAACTCAAAATGCCCCCACGCTCGATTCCAAGTCCAATCATTCACCCAATAAGAAATTGTATGAGTGTTTAATTTTAACATTTCAAGTCACTTTTAATTTGAAATGCGGCTAAATCGCCGCATGACTCACGAAACTTTTATTCTATTCGCCCAATTCAGCGGATTGTTTGTTGATTTTTTTTCTTGTCTTCTCCTCTTTCTTAATATATTCACTAGTCATAGCGCTCTCTCGCTCTCGCTCGTACTTTCTCCCCCATTCTTCTTACGCTGACTGGCTCTTTAATCCCGCTACATCTGTCTGCCATATTGTAATTGGGTTAATAACATGTGTACACTGTACACATTTAACTGTTTGTTGCGCTGACTTTTGCTTTCGGCGCTTTATTTATTAACGGATCTCTTCTAGCGCAGTTTTATTGATTTTTCTTATTTGCACAAATGCATAAAAGAAAATGCACGAAATGCTAGATGCGTGTATGCAAATGTATGTGTGTGAGTGAGTGAAGAGGGAAGAGGTTGTGGAGCTGCCAAAAAAAAAAAAAAAACGTTTGAGCATCGTTGGCGTTTTTACATTAAGCGGATTATTTGTTACACAGATACACACATATACAACTTTGAATGTGTGTATGCATGTGCATGTGTTTCCTACCCCAATTACACGTAGTTGGGCTCCATGGCCCACGCATCGCCCAACAGCTGCAGCGGCGCTGATTTATCGATTTTTCACTCTTAACGCAGATTTCAAATTTGGCAATTACATAAAACAAAATATATATACGTACATATTAGTATACATCGGAGCGATATATAAACCAAAATTCAAATTAGCGCAGCATTAGCCGAAATTAGCAAACAACAATTCGACAAAATTAATAACTAAACCACCTGCAAAAGCAAGCAAGGGAAAGAGAAGGAAGACGGCCATTGTATTTATTTGTTTTATTTTATTTTTTTTTTCACACAAGAACAAATCACACGTATAATTTCTTAGCTGCCCTTGAGTCTTATTTATCTAGCTCTTCTACCTGCTTTTCGCTCACAAACACACACACGCACACATATATACATCCAAAAGTACGCAAAGGCGGTCGCCGCCTCTTTGGCTGCAAAGAAGACGCCAAAAACCCATATAAACACATTCACACACACGCAATACATATTTTTTAAAGGCGATATGCACATGCATTTTGTAAGTATATATACTTGGCTTGCTTGTACTTACTTTTAGTTTTCGCAAGAGATTCGCTGGAAATCGGCTTTTGGAGGGGGGATTTGACTCTCGTTTTGGAAGTTGTCATGGAAAATGTAACCTTGTCTGGTTACAAACTCGGCTTTTATTGTCACTTTTCACTTGCTCTAGCTGTGCCCATATTATTAATAAGCCTTTAAGCACTTACACACATCACTTTCATTTAACATTTTTTTGCCATACAAATGTTTCTTTTTTGCCCAGCAAAATGGAAATACATCAATTCGACATACATAACTGGTTTTCTTCTTTGGCACCTTGCTTTTCTTTTTGTTTTATTTGTATTTTTATTGCAGGTTTTAGTTTGCAGGACGTTTTCAATGACGTTTGATATTATACACCATCTGCTATTCATGCACCGTTTTGTTAATAAAACTTTTAAAATCAGTTATTTGAATTAAAAAATCGAATTCTTCTCGGCAGCGAACCAAAAAATTAACTCATTGCGCGTTCAACGCGCTCACTATTCTGTTAGCGATGTGATAATCAAATTCTTGGGGTGGCCTAACTAAATGATGTATCGATATCACCAAGTTTTAAGAAATACACATGACGATATTATATTCGATATATAAAAATACTGAAATCGTGTGTGACCGTATTGTAGAAATATATTTACGATAGTGGGCATATCGTAAAATTAATAGTCAGAATTTAAATAGAAAAAATAAACAGTAATAGCAGAGAACATATTTAGAAACGAGTTCATTTACAAATTCCCAGCCTAAATTAAAAACAACACAGGAACGGCGTTTCACTTCCAATGAACAATTAGTTAAGTTATTCAAATTCCTAATTCGCGCAATTTAATCGTAACGCCCGTTGCAGATTTGTGCTATCTTAGATCTCATTAGTACGGTATCATTGAATTGCAGCATTACCAAGCTAATCTGGCACGGTCACACTGTACAGACGTGTCATTTGACGACTGCTGTAAATACATAAGTTTTTTAAATTCGCGGCATTTAATTGGTGCAATTAAGCGCTGTGCATTTTAACTGAGCCTAACCGAGAATCTTCCCATCATTGGGAATCTGCGTATTTACTTAAGTACCAGAGACGCGCGCAGTCAGCGAACTGCCAGCGTGCCAGAGCATCAGCTGGGGGCTCATTAGAAAAAAAGACGACGACGACGACCACACCAAAACCCAAACTTCTCTGAGAGAAGAAGGAAACTGCGCTTATTTTTGTAAATAATTAGAAGACCGGCGCTACTTTTCCAATGGCGGGTCAAAAATTTCAGTATGATGAGAGTGGCGGCACATTTTACTATTTTGTGTTATCGTTTTTGGCTCTGGTATTGATACCAACAACCATTTACTATTGGCCACGTAAAAAGAAAGAAGGTTAGTTAATACTGATTGTAATCAGACTGCAGCTCTCTCTTTAAGTCAATGTGAGTGAGTGTAAGTCTCTGTGTGAATATGTGTGCGTGTGTGTATGTCAAGTGCTGCAAATGGACACGTTCCATTAAGTTATTCTAACAGTGACTTCCAATCGGCGCTTTACGCTGTCTGCGTGTTGGTGAAAGCTACAATAACAACACCTTAAGCCAGCTCACTTCACAAATGGAACACACACACACGCAAGCGTACATACATGCATGCCTTATATTTGAAAGACAGAACTGGTAGCGAGGTAGAGAGAGCGCACATGCTGCAGAGCTCTCTCGCGATCTCAATGTTAGCAGCTATCTCGCTCTCACCGCATGTGATTCTAATCTTTGCACCCTTTTTCGCACAGATCTTAGCAAACTAAAAGAGGAATGCCAATGTCCCGACTGTCTGAAGAAGAAGATAATATTGGCCAATGCCGAGCCTTATCGTACACTAAAATCGGTTGTCATTAAGCTGGCCATTGTACTCGGGTGGGCGCTACTGCTGTTCCTCACATATCGTGTCTCACAGTTCGATTACGAGATGGCGAGCTTCGATCCCTTTGAGATCTTGAACGTGCCGCCGACAGCAACGCAGGCTGAAATCAAGAAGGCCTACTATAAGCTGTCGAAGGTGCTGCATCCTGATAAGGAGACGGGCGACGAGAAGTCATTTATGATGCTCAGCAAAGCGTATCAAGCGCTCACCGATGATGTGGCTAAGGAGAATTATGAGAAATATGGCAATCCCGATGGTCCGGGCGCCATGTCGTTTGGTATTGCGCTGCCCTCATGGATCGTTGAGAAGGAGAATAGCGTTTGGGTGTTGGGTCTCTATGGCCTAGTCTTCATGGTGGCCATGCCCTCCGCAGTAGGCGTCTGGTGGTATCGCTCCATACGTTTCAGCGGAGATAAAGTCCTATTGGATACGTCGCAAATGTATTTCTATTTCATACACAAAACGCCGCACATGCTGCTAAAACGAGCTCTAATGGTACTCGCAGCCAGTCTGGAGTTTGATAAGCGACACAATTCGCAAGTGGTCGAACGGCAGTCGGATAACGATGAGGTGCCAGCGGTACGTATTTGAAAATCTGATTATAACTGCTGATAAAGCGCTGTAAGATACCTAACATAACTAAAACTGTTAAGTAAATGTGCGGAGAACTGTTATGTTAAAGGTAAACTGTTAACAGTCGAAGCTCTTAGTTGTGCCTGTCAACAGCTATAATGTAAGTGTTAGCAACAGCCGCAATGTTTTAGTATTAGTATTTATACAGTTTACCTTTTTTCAACATTTATTAATGTTTTCCCTTTTTTCTCTTACAGCTGATTAGGCAACTGCCTAATCTGAATGAAAAATGCAAAGAGCATCCGCTGTGTCGCATGTATTCCATTAAGGCGCGTGCCATACTGCATGCTCATCTCTCACGTATTCCGTTGAATCCGGAGACACTAGAACGTGATCGTCAGTTCATTGTGAAGAAGTGTCCGTATTTGGTACAGGAGATGGTCAGTTGTGTGCATCAGTTGGTCATGATGGCCTATGCGCGTCGTGTGCCCCGTCTACCCAGTATCGAAACCATCGAGAACTGCATGAAAATGTCCCCGATTATCATTCAGGGCCTCTGGGATTACAAGTCGCCGCTGCTGCAGTTGCCCCACCTAACCGAGGATCATTTGTATTTCATGAACAAGAAGCGCCATGTGAAGAATCTGCAACAATTCGCTCAGCTGAAGCCGGAAGAGAGTCGCATGCTGCTCAAGAATCTTTCGGACTTTGAATATGAGAATATTATGCGAGTGCTGGGCAAGATGCCTCTGATTGACTTCTCCATACGCTGCGAGGTGATCGACGATGAGAACACCAATGTGGTGACAGCGGGCGCCATTGTAACAGTGACCGTGACGCTGGAGCGAAAGGATATGAAGACTCTGTTCGGGGACACAAAGGTGCCGGAGAAACAGGGCATTAAAGACGATGCCAATGAGGAGGCGGCTGGCGATGATGATGAGGCAGGTGCTGCTGCTACTGTTGTGCCGGTGAAGAAGGCTTCTGCTTGGTCAAAGCCGCGCAAAGGCGGCAAGGGCAAAGGCGGCAAGAAACCTGCCAACAATCAGAAGAAAAAGGCGCAGCCGAAGCCAGCAGTCGCAGCAGCAGCTGCTGCTTCTGTTTCCACTGTGTCCACAACGGATGAGCAAACGGCAGCCAATTCGGAAGCCGAATCGGATGCCGGAGAGCACAGCGATGTGGAATCGGTAGCCGCCTCTGGAAGCGAGGATGAGGATAAGCAGAATAAAAACAACTCCTCGCTGGATGACGACGACGACGAGGAGTGGGAGAGGCTGCAGGCCAAGCTGAATAAACGCGAACGCCTGGAGGGCAAGTCACGTATGTCGCATACAGTGCACTGTCCATTCTTTCCGGAAGAGAAGCAGGAGTACTGGTGGACATACATATGCGATCGCAAGTCGCGCACTCTGCTCACAGCTCCCTACCATGTTACAAATCTCGTCGAGAAGGAGGAGATACAGCTAAAGTTCACAGCGCCCCGTTGGCCAGGCGTCTACACCTTTACAGTTTGCCTGAGATCAGGTAAGTCCACAGTATATCCATATAGTTCCCATCACTGAAATCTATTATTCTATTCTTATAGACTCGTATCTGGGCTTGGATCAGCAACAGGAACTGAAACTGGATGTACAGAAGGCACCCGCACCACCCACAGATCATCCACAATGGGACTTGAGCGAATCGGAGCCGGAGCACAATGATCAGCAAGAGAATCTAAGCGACTATACAACAGATACATCCGATGAGGAGAATAGCGATTAGGCAATAATTCACCCGAAAGAGCGAGAGTCAGCCAGAGAGTTGATCATGACATGATTCTGCTGTAGCTACTTCAACTCATTCACCTCAATCTGATCTGTTCAGCCACGTTCAATGAACGTGGCGAAGGGCGATTGGATTTAACAATCAACGACAATTTAATGAATAAAGAGCGAAAGTGAGCACCAGTTGCTCATGACGGAATCTACTTCAGCTCCTACTTCAACTCATCCATTTTCCTCCAAATATTTTGATTTTGTTTTCCTTTCCCAAAACCTTCTTTTAATAATTAGTAAATGCTTTTGAGTTGCGAAATTAATTCGCATTTTTAACTAGTTTTTGTAATTAAAAAGAAAAACAAAAAAAAACATGGATAAAGAGCTCGAAACTACGGCGTAAATAAATAAGTAAAAATAAAAATAAAACAACTTCATTTTAATGTCTCTGTACTAAACATAATTATAAATGTACTGTATATTTAATTAATTGGATACAAAAAGAACTAAACTATTCAAAAATTTGGGAAGCGATTTTTTTTATTGAAATTTAAATTACAATTCCTCAAATTGAATTTGATATATATTATTTCTCAAAATAAAAACGAAATTTAAATTTCTATGAATGGAATTTAGTGCATATAAAAAAAACATGAAAGTATATAAATTCAATTTTATAATTGACATTTTAATGAGTGGAAAAGAGAATATACAAAATGAATATAAATCGAGAATATGACTTTTGTTTATTGCATCGCAGCTAGGAAATAAACACACAATTATTTACATTACATTTTTTTTATTGAAATTTTAATAAGTGGAAAGTAAAATTCACAAAAAAATAAAATAAATCGACAATTTAAATTCGTTTATTGCGCCGCAGCTGCGCGCTCTTGTTCTAAGAGCTGAGCCGAGGCATTATTCGTTTCGGCTGGAGCTGGACCTGGAACCGCTGCAGCAAGAGCTGCGGCTGCTGTTGTTATCGCTGTCTGTGGGAGAAAGTTAGAAAATTTGGGTATTAAAAGCTGTTTGCTTACTAACTAATTTTTTTCATTACCCGTCACCAGCTTTTATTATTATTAGTAATATATTTTTCTTTTTAACATTTATTTACAATTCATGTTTATATGTATGTGCTAATGTGTGTGTGTGTTTGTGCATGAGTGTGCTCTACAAGTGATGGACTACAGATGCGGATGCGATAGTGGTTCATTTGAAGTGAGTGTTTGCTTTGGTTCATTTGGTACGTGTGCGTGAGGTTGTTTGTGTTTGGTTTCGGCTCATCGTGTTCGTTCGTTGTGGTTCGTTTCAGCTTATTTCCGTTACTCTTCTTCGCTTTCCTTTTCAGAAGATTTTATTTCTTCGTCAGCTTTCGTTTCTTTCTTTTCTTCTGCTCCATCTTCAACCTCGGATTCTTTATTTTCTTCTTCAGCATTGGATTCTTTCTCTTCTTCTGTTGTTGCTTCTTCTTTAGAGTTTTCTTTCTCTTCAGAAGATTCTTTAGTTTCTGCCTCATTTTCATTTGCTTTAGTTTCTTCGGTACTTTCTTCACCATTTTTTTCTACTTCACCTTTTTCCTCGTCTTCTTTTTCTACTTCTTTCTTTTCATCATCATCCTGTTTCTCTTCTTCTGTTTTGGCTTCATCTGCTTTTGTTTCTTCTTTGGTATCATTTATCTCTGCACTAGCTTCTTCAGTTTTTTCCTTATCTTCTTCATTTTCGTCAGCTTCTTCTTCTGGCTCTTCAGACGCTTCGGCAGTCTCGATTTCTGCGCTTTCTTTCGTTTCCGACTCAACGGTCTCTTCGGCATTTTCTTTCTCTTCTTGCTTTTCTTCCGATGTATCATTCTCTTCACTTGATTTCTCTTTTGCTTCATCTTCATCTATTTTCGACTCTTCCGTTTTCTCTTTAGTTTCGTCTTCAGACTTCTGTTCTGTTTTCTCTTTTGGTTCGTCTTCAGATTTCGCTTCCGTTACATCTTTATCTTCTTTCGACTCTTCCTTTGTGTCACCTTCCGCATCTTGTGCTTCCTCTGCCTTTTCTTCCGTTTTCTTACCTTCACCTTCACCTTCACCCTCATTCTCCTTTTTATCGTCTTCCTCTGCCTTCTCCTGCTCATCTTCAGTTTTTTCTGCTTTTGGCATTAAAGGAATGTTAGAGTAATTAACATGTTGTACATCCTTTATTTTACCTGTTGCTTCCTCCTTTTCTTCTTTCGATTCTGATTCGCCGTTACCTTCTTTAGCTTCGGTTTCAGTCTGAGTTGTGTTTAGAATTTCGGATTTTGTGCATTACATTCAGGAGTGAGTGTTTTGTATAGTTGTTGTTGCAGTGGGGATATGGTACAGGATGGTATAAATGGGAAAATATATTTACAAATATTATTAAGGATTCGCTAATACTAATTTAACATATTCTCTTAAGCTTTAGTTGCATTAACATGCGTGATTAGCAGCCCTATATCAGCTACTGTTAACTCCGTCTACTTTTTTTTACATGCTAGTATTTTACAACGTTCACGTTTTACCTTTTCTTCACGACTCTCTTCCTTTTTATCCTCTTCTTCGCCATCTTTATCTGTTTTCTCCTTATCCTCGCTGGATTGCTCGCCATCTTCTGCCTTTTGTTTGATGCAAAGTGACGAGTGTTATCATTACAGTTCCAATCAAAGCTTTCGCTGTTATTTAACATGCGCTGGCTCTAGCTGCTCTTGTTAGATTATTAAACTTATTTTTTTTTTAGTAAGTACAAATATTTTTCATTTCGTTTGTATTTTTTATTAAATATATTCAGCGGATTTTTATGTTTTCGCATTAACATAACTCAGCCGCACAAATCGTACAGATAGTTTAGTTTTAATACACTCAATTAAAATGTAGTATTTAAATCAAATTGCAACTGTAATTTGCGTTGTTATTTCGAATGTGTGTTAACAAAATGTTATCAATACAAATCTTGTTACATATACATACAAAAGTGTGTGTGAGTGTATTATTTTATAAATAAATTATATATTTTTTTGATTAAAAGTTGTAATTTCTTGCAGTATGCATGTCATAAATATGTACGTGTATAAATATACATATAATGATAGTACCTTAACTTAAAGAACCGCAGTCGTGGTAATAGAAGCACATTTGCTAACAAAAAATTGATGTTTGCCGCCAAAGTTGCTGAAATGCTGTTAGATTACAGTTTGATGTTATTGCTGCTACTGTTAACATGATTGGCTGGCTTTGCTGATTGCATTGCGGCGTTAGTAATTAATTAAATGATGTTGCTTGACGTTAATGTTAATTTTTTTTTTGTTTTTTTGTTATTGTTGTCATTTTTGTTGCTTCTGTGCAGGCTTGTTGCTATTGTTGTTGCCGCTTCATAACAGTTAAAACAGAATAGTACAAATTGCTCAAAGCTCTCAAACCTCTGCCTTCTCCGCGTTCGCGCCTTCCCCTTCGCCTTCCGCTGGAGCTTTCTTTTCCTCGTCTTCGGTCTTTTCGCCCTCTTTTGCCACTCCGTTCTCCTGCTTCAGCTCAATCTGAGCACTACTCACAGCCGTTGTATCAGCGGGCGCCAGCTTGAGAAAAACCTCCAGCGTATCAATCTCATTGGCCAAATCGAAAGCATCATAATCGCCGCAATATTCCTCGTCGTTGAAGATTTGCGGAGGCAACGGATGTCTGGGCTCTGGATCGCTGACTGTGCCGCCGCTGCTAGTTGATTTGTTCTGCATAAACTCCTTTTCGCTCTCCTTGCCGGGCTCTGTAATGTCAATGGTATCATACTGAATGTTCTTGCTGTCCAGAATCATCAGAACGCGCTGTTGGCGCTTCTTCACCTAATGGAAATAGATAAAAATAATAAATCATCTTGAGTTCTGCTTTTATTTTGATAAGCCTCCAGCCCTGGTTTTCAATTGCCGGCAAGCACACACACACACACACACACACACACACACACACACACACACACACACAC